TACTGCACTCCTTCTTCTTGAGCTTGGATTATAGAACTTGAAGTTCTAGAAGACCTCCAAGGTCAACAAGCAAGTAAACAATGCTCCAGTCAAGGAACTGCCAAACAAGCCAACGATAAGCAGCCCAACCAAAAAACCTTTGAAGACCAACAGTGACAGGGCAAGCCACTAGAATATAAGCATTCCTTACTAGCACTGATGATGATACCTAGTTTGGATAATGAAACGTCTGCAAAAAAGCAGCCAAGCTCATAGGACCCCTCATTTCAATCCTAAGCTACAAATATTCTCCTTTAATTGAAGTAACAGATGGAAGCTTACAAAAGGGAGATCCAACCTAGAAGTAAGGAGAATTTTCATGACAACAATTAATCAACAGAGCCCTGGAAGTTGTGGGTCCTTCATCTCTTAATTTTTAAGAGATTATAGGGCCATTTGTCTGGAATTGTATTGGGTTTCCTGTTTGGGCAGAGGGGTGGACTAAAAGACCTACATGTTCCCTTCCCATTCTGTTATTCCATGTTCTATGATGCATATGTGATCTCCTTCATATGAACGTGGTGAGAATGTGGCGAGGACAGATTAAGAACACAAGCAAAAAAATCCCAAGAAAGCAAATGCTAGAGAGGCTTTCCCAGGAAGACAGACCAGAAAAAATGTGCAAAAGCAGCCTCTTTTGGCAGAGTGTGGAATTCAGTTAGTGTCCTTTTGTGTGGAGACAGAAGAATACAAAAGCCACTGGATGAATATTTCCTACTCCAGTCACCCTCTTTCAGATAAGCAAGCGCAAGCTTGGCTGGCGGCCCAAATCTGCCAATAAAAATTAAGAAATTGATTTCCTTTTGTTTGCCTGACAGGATGAAGGCTCTTTTTATGAGACAGTAAATGCAATCCATCTCTGAGCGCGGCCAGATTTTTAATTGTATTTGTTGTGCTTTCACTTACTCTATTTTATGAGTTGCAGTTTGTATTCTTCCTGGCTCAGAAAGCTTACCCTGAAGGAAGGGATGAGTGCTGGATACTGGATTCTGTAAAACAAAAGTTAGGGATTTTAAACAAGAGCAGTTGATGGAGCCAAGGTGATGGTTGTTATTTAATTGATAACATTTGCTTCGAAACCAGCTAATACACAAGCTAGTTAATTGCATAAACTTCCTTTAAAAAAAAAGTGAGTTAATGTGGAGTTACTACTATGAATGCTGTGGGATTACACTGAAGATTTATGTCTTATTTTTGTATTTAAGTCAAAGCTTTTCACTAGGAAGTCAAGACAATGCAGATGTGGTCTTACAAAAAGCCCCCTGAGACGTAGGTTGAACCACAAGATACTGTCTGGCCTTTCATTGTCCCAGACAACCAAATATTCAAGGTGGAAGTTCAACTTTAATTCCACAGATTCCAACCTTGCAGCTTAACCCAGGAATTTTGCAGCCATCGTTTTGGCAGTTAGGAAGCCATATTTGCCTTCTCTTATTTTCCAATAGTTGAGAACTGTGGTTTTGCAATATGGTAATGCAATGATATCATGCAGGGGGGACAGAGCTAGTATTTTGCATTTTAATGTTCTGTAGAAAGCGTAGAAAAAATTAAAACATTTTGTAGATTTGTTAAACTGGCTTGATAGCTTACACAGACTTCAGTACTGTTTCTGGCTCCGATCCAACAGTTAAATTATGACTCTGTTCAGTGATCTGCTGCCAAATGTTGGTGATAGCACCTCTGGGGGCTGCAGAAACTGCATATCGACTTTTTTAAAAAAAACCAAACAAATTATGGACATTTAGGGGCTGCAAGCCATGATCCAGTTAAGGAGTGATGTTGAGATTCTAGAAAGAGTACAGAGAATATAGTATACTCTCTTCACCTCATAAACCATCTCTTAACTAAAAAAAAAACAAATCTCAAAGTCTCACCATTTGTTCTTTATCAGCAAAAGTCCAGTAAGAGAAACCAGCTATAATTGTTTTTTTTTTAATTTTCTTTAACCTTGGTCAAATAAGCCAACCCTCTATTCCATCCTTGAACTTTAAAAAATCTTAATTTTTAAGCATCAAATATAGTCCCAGAACTTGTTTTCTATTCATCTCTTTTTTGACCCAATAATCTTTCGAAGATTTAACTAGATCTCTTTTATAAATCCAACATAAACTGTCCAGAGTCACTTGGGTTATCTCAATGATCTCTCTTCCTCTAGAGATATTTTAATGGTCTGGATCCAGCATCTAGTTATGGTTTTCCTTGTAAATCAGCTTGTCAGCTTGCCATATAACACTCATTGGAAACTTCTCTCTATTTTCCACCAGTTCTTTGGGAATCCAGATGCATCTGCAGCTCACATGCTTTGGGGTCTACTTGGGACAATTTGCTAGCCTAGTGTCGCTGGGGAGAACAGATCTCTGTATTGTTCATCTCCAGCATCTAGTTCTCAGAGATATACTATATCTGAACTGGGTATATCACACTTCATACAAGAAAAGATATTTATACTTCATACAAGAAAATATATTTAAAAGAAAAAAATGGTTTTGGAATCCTAACATTAACTTAGTTTTGTTATATATATGTGTGTGTATGTGTGTGCACATGCATGTGTGTCTGTGTATAAGTGTGAGTGTCTTCCTCTCTCTTTTACTATGGGGTTTTTCCTGTAAAACATGTGGATATTCAGATGTTCAAGCTCTCTACAATGTATTAAAATACAGAACTTTTGAAACCTATTTTAGCCTAGTCTAGTGTGTTGTAGAAAAAAAAAACCCTAATTGTTTTTGGATTTATGTCAATGCCTACAAATTAGCACGTACCAATATTCGGCTATCCTCCAGCCCTCTAATCCTCAGAAAGAAGATAGGAAGCTATAGAACATTGTTCTTCCTCTAATGGAAATTTGAGTAGTGGAAAATTGGGAGAGTACCATTATATGTTGATGCAGATATTATAAAATACATAGGACCCTGTCTATTCTCTAAGAAGGTCAGCAATGCTTCTATTTACTTGTGGCACCCTCGCTCCGAATGACCATCACCCTGCTAGTCTTTAATGAAATCTTGTTTAGTTTTCAAACAACATGCCTTCTTTTTGCTTGCTGAGAAAACAGAAATCTTGTAAGTCTCATAAAGATTATTGGCTCAGCATCCGTACCATGGGTAGCCACTTCCTGTGCGGTATCATCTATCGCTTACATTGACAACGGCAACTGTAGTCAGAAGGACAAAAAAAAAAGAGAAATGCAATTTTGTTAAATTCAGTTTACAATAAAGGTTGGTGTGGAAGTGGGGAAGGGTGAGGAGAGACTAATGACTTTCTTCTGAATACAATTTCTATTATGGCTGCCAGAAATTTGGACTGATTAAGCAGCTTTTTTAGGTTCCATTCGGGAGGAATCAACAGTATTTTAAAAATCCTAAAACACACACACACACACACACACACACACACACACCATGGACAAGCCTTCCCTTCACTATTGCATCCCCATCCCTCCCTCTCTTGTTCTTTGCGTTATTCTTGGCACATTACGGGGTCCCCAGTTTTACATTTCGCCCCCCACTTCGTCCGATCTACAGTGCATCTTGAGTGTTGTTTTGCGTTTCATGCACAATGATGCAACGTTGAAAACTCAGCTGACTTGTTGTGCATGGTTTGACACCTTCCCTCCTCTCTCATCCAGGCTTGGGACCAGCAATGGCGGGGTTACCCCCCCCTTCAATCCCATCTCCAAGTTTTTAAAAAACCTTTTTCAACAATAGACGTTGGAGTTCTCTCTTGTTGCTGACTCATGTTCCATTAAAAAGAAACTGTGCGATTTGGAATAGATCAGGTGACATAAGAAAGAACTCTCTGCTGCCCCCCCATCCCACCCCCACCCTAAAGACCCAGATAAAAGGCACAGGAAATGAAATGCATTGAGTCTTCCTCATTTCAAAGAGAGCCTCAAGACAGCAGAAGAAAAATCACTCTAAGCATCATTTTTTTTTTTTGCCCTCTCTCTTCGGGCTTAAGAAATTGCAGTTCTTTGATTAAAAAGACCAAGGAGAGTGTTGATCTCTGTCCTTTTTCTCCTTCTCCTCCTACTGGGAATCTGGGGCTGTCTTGCACATTTGGCTTCTTGCAAACAGACCGTGGAGGGCCTTGTAGGTCTCTGTGAAATCTTGGAGCTGCGGGATATAAGCATATGTCTTGATTTCCAAGGGCCAGTTAAATCCTAAGTATCATGAGAACAGGAGTAGACGTGGATTTTTTGGTGTGTGTGTGTGTGTGTCTTGCAACAGCCTTTCTGTCCTGCCTAAGAACAACAGGGCATGTTACTCATGTCTGGGGCATCACTGGAATAGACATTTTTTTGTGGGGGGAGGAGAGGGGATTTTGGCACAGAGGGTTATGCAAGGGAAAGGGTGCCTGCTGAGAATTTATCCTTTCACTCTTACTTCCCTCCTCCAGGATAATTCAGCCCATAATTCAGTGGAAAGAGCCCAAAGGCCAGATTTCATTTCAGAAATAGCAGCCCCGACTTTTCTTTTTTTTTTACTGAATCGCCTATGTGGATATGGTACCCACATGTGGATCTGGAACTTATTTTTCCAAAGCACCAGAAGGCAAGACAAAAAAACAACGGATGGAAACTAATCAGGGAGAGAAGCAACCTAGAATTAAAGAAGGGTTTTCTGACAGGGAGGACAATTAACCAGTGGAACGGCTTGCCTTCAGAAGCTGTGGGGGCTCCATCACTGGAAGTTTTCAAGAAGAGACTGGAACAGCCGTTTATCCAGTAGGGTATAGGGTCTCCTGCTTGAACAGGATCTGGACTAGAGGATCTCTAAGATCCTTTCCATTTTGGTTATTTTGTAATACTGAATGAGAAATGAGAAATGACCAGTTAGCCCCAGATGCTGCATTTTATTACACAAGAAGGTGGTTGTTGATCTATGCTATGATGATGATGATATGGTGGTGGTGGTGGTGGTGATGGTGACAATGCTGATGATGCATCTCTTTATTTTTAGGTCCTGTGGCTGTAATCAGTGGAGAAGAGGATTCTGCCAGCCCTCTTCATCACATCAACCATGGCATCACCACACCTTCATCATTGGACACCGGCCCAGACACAGTGGTGATCGGTATGACCCGGATTCCTGTCATCGAAAACCCACAATATTTCCGACAAGGCCACAACTGCCATAAACCAGACACATGTAAGTAATTTTACTTTCTTTTTATATGACAAGATGGAGATAGGGAAATAAAGACAATCAAAAGGAGAAAGAGGTCTTACTGGAGAGAAAAGATAATTGCCTTTGTATGGTCCAGAAACCAGAAGAATATTTTTTTTTGTCCTAGAATTATAACATTCATAGATTTGTTATACAAGGTGACATGATTGATTCACCATCCAATAATAAGTTCTTGTAGATGCATCATAATCCTTGTGGAAGCTCATCCCCCCCAAAAAAGAACATTACAAGGAAGGCTTCCATGATAACCTTTGATACAATCCTGAGTGTAGGTAATACAAGGAGAATGCAAGGCAAATTTAGTACGTGAAGCAGTGAGAGACCTCCAAGTTTACTGAATGAAATAAATACATCATGCTAGGAAGCAAGAAATTGTTCTGTCTTCAACATCCCCATGTTTATAGTACCAGATATGTCCTATTAAACACAATAAACCATCCAGTTGTCATGACAAATAAGTTTCCTCTGCCATATCTTGACAAAATATGAGAAAAAGAACCACTAGGCCTACTGAAATCAGAGTTGATCGTTCAGCTACCAATATATAATTTGAAATTCTTTGGGGAAATTTGGATTTTGAAATATAGGCTGCAGTAGGCAAAGATTCTGTTCTTTTAAAAAAAGAGACCTGAATGAGCAAGGATTCAGTGTCCATATTTCTAAAAAAAAAATTTGCTTTTTTCTATTCTGAGGTACCATATTTGATGTTGCTGCATTTTATTTCTCTTCCAATGGAACTAAATGGCACGATCTGGTTTATAAAGGCTTTTCTTTATGAAGCCAGTTGGCTCTCGTTACTGATTTTTTTAGCTCCAGTGGTTCAGTTCTTGCTCCTGCCTTGATTCTCATAGGGTAAATTGCTTTTATCGACAGTGAATCTCTTTACTTAAACGAAAGAACATCATGAGTGTTAGTTAACTCATCCTTACAAGTTAATCAGGACTCCTCATTCCCACAACGGTTTAAAACATCACAGCCCATGTAATCACCTTGCAGATTTCCCAAAGGGGCTCAAAACCAAACCATGGTAAACCAACCAAACCACATGAAAACGTCCGTCACTTCTTTCCCAACCATCTCATGTGCTTCATATCCATGTGCTTCCCATTGTCTGTGTTTCCTGTTACTAATCATGACTGTGGCTAAAGTAATGGTAATGGGGCCTTTCTGATAGATGTGGGAAATTTTTATGGGCGTCTCCTCGATTGCTGAATTCAGAGTTCTGCGCTTGCCTCTCTGTGAGTTGTGGAAGACTATGTCTTGGAAAGCCATTTTTATTTTTTAGAAATTCTTCTGGCCTCTGCCAGAGTTTCTTAAGTAAGTCTGAACATTGTGCACCTCTATTCAGAAGTAAATCAAATGAAATGTAATGGGATTTGCTGCCAGGTAAGTTTGTGGAGGATTTCCTATTGGGTTGATTTAATTGACAGGCAAAATTACAACCAGCACTGTGATCCATTAGACCTTTCAAATGTAAATTAGCAAATGGGGGATCCATTGCCTTAGATGTGCATGTGTTCAATTTTCCTCCTTTTCCCAAGATGATGATGTTTTGAATCTCCCTCTTTTTCTGAATTAACCTCTTGAGTCTTCCACCAATTGACCATCTCATTGTGAAGGGAAAGATTTCACAAAGGTTTATGTGGCTAAGGAAATGTGGCTGTATGGTGACGTCCCTGGAAACCAGTGTAATAAATTTAAACAAGAGAGAAAATTTTGAATGAAAAGATGTTGAAAAGTTTTGAACAGGGACTTAAGTTGGCACTGCTTAAACCATTATGAATAATAAACTGTCATTCGGGGGCAGCTCTAGTTATAAAAGAGGGGTCAATTTTGGGGTTTAAGTTCTGAGGTTACGTGGAGTTGAGAACAGAAGAGAGAGAAGAAGAATGTAAAAGGTTAATCTGGAGCAAATGGATCAAACTGGGGCAATAATGGGCTTTAGGCATTTCATTGTAGCTATCTTTAACTTCTGTTATGGTGTATTTGTGCTCTGTGCATCTGCACACCGTGAAGATGGCGGGGAGGCAGGTTTTAATTGGACATTGATCACACCTGGGGAGAAACTATAGCTTTCCTCTCCTTTTGGGGGGAATTGGGACTTTCCCTCCTTTTTATTTTTTGTATTTTGAGAATCTTCTTTATGGAGGGGTTTAATGCACGTTGAAATCTATGGCATTTATAAAGACCGGCCAGGTGCCTTTGTTTCCAGCAGTGATATTGGTTGATCTAGTGCAGGGGTGTCAAACTCGCAACGTCACACGATGCGTTGTGACGTATCGCACTTTTTTCCCCCATTGCCAGCAATGGGGTGGGCGCGGTTTTGCCATGACGCATCTGGCCCACGGGCCGGCAGTTTGACACCCCTGATCTGGTGGATTATTGTCATAGTATAAGCCACTCTATACACCCAACTAAAAGAATCCTTATAACTATGATTAGATTAGATTATTAGCAATCCGGTAACTTCTGGCAGGTGTGTTTAACTAACCTATTTCATCAGGTTAACTCTGAAGTCAAAGGGAAATAAACAATTAGAATTGTAAATTTCTTCAAAAACCCAACTGCAGGCTTCTGAGTCAGAAGGGACACTTCTTATACCAGCTTGAGGTCCATGGTATACATTAAAATTTGCATGTATGTAACAATGTAAATAATTCTGCCAGAAGCATATGAAAGGCTAGTAGACCTGGTCTTCAAAACGTTTTTCAGCTGACCAAGTAGTTGTATACAATGGCAGCTTTCCTCTTGAATTCTTAACAAGGCCATTTTATGACTGGGAAACTTAGAATTTCTTTCAATGAGTCTTATTTCATTACATCTTATGGCCATGCAGCATTTTGGAAATATAGCAGTGGTTCTCAACCTGTGGTCCACCGACCCCAGGGGGGTGGTGCAATGTCATCACAGGGGGTCCACAAAGGCATGAAGAAATGCTATGGTTTACATCTTAAGTCTTGGTCTACATCTTAAGGTATTTAAAGGGGGTTGTGGTGAAGAAAAAGTTGGGAACCACTGCTCTAGAGTAGTACGGGCTCCCTATGCAGTCCCAGGTGAATATGTGTTTAAGGAGGCCCTAACTGAATGCAAAAGTGGATACAGTTTCATGCTGGCCAACACCTTACTTCAAATGGGCATTTTCCAAGGCACTGCGTGGAAATGTAAGTAAGTGCTAAGGAAAACGCCCATTTCTTTTACCAAGGCCACAAACATGTGCAGAACATGCCCCCTCCAAAACAGATCAAGAGCACGGTATATCTCTAATTAGCAGGATTTTTTTCTATGGATTTTTTTTTTTGGTCTACTGAAATCAATAGTTCAATAAGATGTTTGTATGGGGAAACCTCAGCTACTTAAATATCATTTGGATATATATTTTAACTAATTAGTTGTATTCCCTTGATTGGGAAGTATTGATTCATTTGTTAATTTCAAATAGTGAACCATATTTTAATAAATGTCCTATACTGTATGTCCTGTTCAGGGCAATTGTTCCCCTTCCATCAACTGCTTCTGGGTGAGAAAAAATTACCTGTTCCTGCTGCTTCCCCACCTCCTCGGCTTCCTATGACAAGCTAAATGATCAAGGACAGTCCTTGATTACATTGGGAATCATCATAAAGGATGCATTAATGCATAGCAAATGAAACAGGCAACTGCATCATGATACAGGTTGGCTCTCGAAGCCTTGGACTCCTTCCAAGGAGACATCTGAAATGATGACATTGGAAAAATGTACATGCATACATTTGATCTGATGTTGTGATTGCCAAACAGCTTTATTACCAAGGTCGCTAACCTGAAATAAATTCACTTTAAAAAGAAGAAGAAGAAAAAACGTAGTAGAGCTGTAACAGTGTCTTTTACATGACAAAAATGAGAGGATTTGGCTACACAACTCAGCGCTAACCAGAATTAACTATGATGGCTTGGAAAGAAATCTCATTGAGTTCAAGGACACTTAGCGCTGAGTTACATACACTTCAGATTGCTGTCAAGCTGGGTGACTGATTGCTGCTTAGGCAGCCTTGCAGGCTAGCTTGCTGTGTTTCCCGGTTAGCTAACTATGCTTGTTATTCAAGCAAAAATATCTAGAAGAGAAAGATGGGGATTTTTGTTGTCCATCTCTAGGCATGTAATTTCCCTGGTGCTTAACTTAGTTGGGTGAGTTTTGCTTGCACACCTGGATCAGGTATATAGAGTGTAGCACATAGTATGAATAGGATTTTAACAAACATATGAAGTCCATCACATCCCAAATTTATCTAGTTATATCTCCATGGCTAATAGCGAGCCTAATGCTGGGAAAGATGGAGGGCAATAGAAGAAGGGGACAACAGAGAATGAGGTGGCTGGATTGAGTCACTGAAGCAGGAGGCGTGAGCTTCAATGGACTCCAGAAGATGGTAGAGGACAGGAAGGCCTGGAGGAACGTTGTCCATGGGGTTGCGGTGGGTCGGACACGACTTCGCAACTAACTAACAACAAGGAAGCTGTCTTCTTAAGTTTATTGGGGCTTCCTCTGTTTTAATCCTTGGGGAGCAAGGTATTATACAATGCTCTTTAGAAGGCCAGATCCTGAAGTTGAAATTCAAATACTTTGGCCACCTAATGAGAAGGAAAGACTCACTGGAGAAGAGCCTAATGCTGGGAAAGATCGAGGGCAACAGAAGAAGGGGACGACAGAGAATGAGGTGGCTGGATGGAGTCACTGAAGCAGCAGGCGTGAGCTTAAATGGACTCCAGAAGATGGTAGAGGACAGGGAGGCCTGGAGGAACGTTGTCCATGGGGTCGCGATGGGTCGGACATGACTTCGCAACTAACAACAATGTTTTGATGGTAGTCCTTCCAGGCTTTCTACCTCATAATATGTATTAGGGAGAAGATGTAAGGAACACATCTAGGATATTCTGCACGAAAGGTGCTAACCTTAGTTTCTAAATTAAATATTCTCTTCCCC